AAATTCACGCTTTTGATTGGTTATCACCTGATCGGAGATTTTCGTAATTTGTATAACGAGGACGGTCGCCCCTGTAATCGGATACATCTTGGAAAATTTGTATTACGATATTTCCCGATACATATTAATTTGAGGAATTCCATGGATTTCCCATCTGGATGGCGATCTTGCCCTTTACAACGTACTGTACGTACGTACGTACGAGGGTAGCAAATTAAATCCCTGCAATATGAAATTAAGTTAGTAATATTACACAAAATTAAACTTTGATCAATTTTCGATATCTCGTGAGCTAGTGTTGATTTTGGTACCATCCAAAACCACAAATCCAATTACTGCCGATGGCACTCATCTATTCTTATGCTCTATATGCAGTAATTGACGAAAAAATGTGTGTTTCAAGTTTACTACCCAAACGTTGTTACGTCCACTTACTCTACTAGGTTAACAGGAACTGTTGTGTGCCCGATTTTATAGCTGTTATTAATTATCGGTCAATAAGAATAATATCACATGCCGGACAGACGGACATTTTCAATTACATAAAAGGTCTAGTATGGACCGTAATAGCCAGTCACGACAAAGTCACGTGGTGACAGACTTCAACGGCTTCGGACAATAGCATTAAGCAACCTGCAAGATGGTTGTCTTATTTCGCCAGTAATCATTTCACTGACAACTTATTTAGCCGACATTATTTCGAATGACAATTTGCTAACAAATATGCATCTACAACTAATAACATGCTAAGTTATCACTTTATGTGATGTCTGCTAAATGAGCTGTCAGTAAAGTGAGGCGCACAGACGCAGAGATATAGTATTACGCATCATTAATGCAAAATTAAATATTAAAACAAAGTGTTAAACAGTATATGCATATGTAAAATAAAGTATAAAAAAATGTTCAAATGCATAATTCTAATTCGATTGAAATACGATTGAAATAGATACATATTTATTCCTAAATTAGAGAATCTTATTTTGTTTTTCCGAATTAAATTCAATAGTAAAAATAATATTGAAAAAATCCTACTTAAAACCAAATGGTCATCGTTATTCAAAGATTAACAATTAGAGTTTCTAAACAATCCCATTTCCGATTCAAAATAAATAAGATTTTTAATATACTTATTTATTGATGTACGTTATTTTTTATTTATGAAAATTCCCCAGTTATCATTTTGCCTATTCGCGTATGCAATTGAATTTTAGTTACTTGAATACGTATTAAAATAGGAAATATAAGAAATTACCATAAAAGTAATAGCCACTATCAAAAATGTTGTAGTGTAAGGCTATGCAAAAATCACTGTGTTGATAATAATTCATTTATTTTAAAACGCACCTATTATATATTTTTAATTATATCTATTTTTAATTTTATAAGATTTGTATAAAAAATTTTTGCACAAACTTTTCATGATGGGGTTAGTATTTAGGGTTATAAATAAGGTTTAGGGAATGGTTTTGGGGTATAAAATATTTTTATTTAAAGCATTGTATATTAATTAATTAACCAGTTTTTTATACAATATAGGCATAAAACACCAAGGTGCGTTTTAGTAAAATTGAAAAAGTTTATCAAGGCGAATCAGAGCAAAACAAACCCTAAAATTACTGAGACTATCTAGTATACAAATATATAAACCAGAGCAAAAATTATCAGTAAATTATTTAACTCAGATTGAATCTCTTCTAAATTATTATTCTAAAAACATATTAATGGCTTCTACCGCAAGCGATCAATACGCCACTCTAATTAAATTATGTATTCTTCTGAATACCATTTCTTTCATTTCTTCTTTTGCCTCATGCGTAACATTTGGCTTTATACGAACATACTATCCTAAACTTGCAGATCGTGTTTCATTTCGTTTAAGTTTTGCGGCCTTACTCTGTAATATAGGCTATTCTGGTCATCATTTATTAGTTTTTTGTTGGGATGCTACTCCAGGTTTTTTATGTGTATACGCGGTAAGATATCATTGGTTTTCTTTTACAATATCGGGAGCTTCTTTTTTGACATCAATGGCTTCTTTTAATTTCTTAATTTCTTCTCCATATTTAAGCCTTGGGCAATCGTATTTTTTGCTCTTTCTTCTACATTTTTTATCGTTTGTATAGCTTTGGTATGCATTATAATTATATTATACTGCTTTATATATGTAAATTTTATTTTCGTTTATCCATTTTTTATTTTATTTTTATTTTAGAACCTTCATATAATATTCATAAATGAATATAAAAGATATAATTTTGAAATGTATTATTATATAATTACATTTTCTTCTGCTCTTTTACTCTCTCTGCTTCCTGTTACCGCTAATATGTATGGTTATGTTGGTCCTCCTGGGTATGTATTATTATATATATAGATGTACGTATGTACAAATATATATTTATTATTTCTAGGGTCTGCAACCGGGCACGTACCTATGCACAACAAAAAATACAGACATAGACATAGGTATGAAAGTCAGGTATGGGCACGGGCATAGGCATTCTACGCATCTCTAGTAAATATTAATATTTGGCTGTGCCCGACACTTAATGTCCGGCATCTTATGCCCATATTCTTAATAGTGCCTGGCATTTTATGTCATGCTTTGACCTGATGTATTTATTTCATATATTAATAATTGATTAATGTTTATTACAGTAATTGTTGGTATCTTACTTCTGATCATAAACGAAAAATAATATGGGAATGGGTTACTCTTTTCAGTTGGATAGATACATCTATATTGTATTGTGCAATTGTTATTATTATGGTCATTAGAAAACTCAAATTTGCGGCAAAACAAATGGATGCTTTTGATTTTTCTTTGACTACTCGGTTATCTAGTAATCCTCCCATAATTGATAAGGCTATGATTTCGTCTGTTGTCAGAAAAGTCGTGTGGTATCCTGTGTTGCCGGTAGCTCAAATTTTTGGCTCTTTCACTGAAACTTATTATTATGTTAATAATACAACCACTTATCCATTAATGTTAACTAGCTTTAGTTGCATGGCAATTCAAGGTATTTATATGTTATATGTATTTTTTCTTTATTATACTAACATTCTTTGATTATTGGTTTTATATTTGCACCTTAGGATTACTGAATGCTTTAGTATTTTCACAAGATGTTGCAGTTACCCGTACTTTTCAGGCTGTTAAACTACAATGGTGGATCTCCAATGTTAACTCTTATGAGTCACATTATCCTCATCGATCTAACAACAAAGCCATTGAAGATAAGTTCAGCACACTAGGAAAATTCAATGATTTTGTTGAATTGAAAGCTCTAAATTGCAATAATGCTGATATCATTAAAAGTGATGTTATTAATGACGATGTTATTGATGATGATATCTTCAATGGCGATAATAATAATAACTTTATTATTAAAAATAATAGAGCTAATAATAATATAGTTTCAGAACCATCTTTCTTAGAATGGTTAAGCTATATGCTATTAATTAAACTTTTCTCTCCTCCAAAAAGTCCATCTCGATTAACACCAATTAATACTTTTGTTGGCAATGACGATTCAAATCAGGATGTAAATCTTGATGATCAAAATGATGATCAAGTTATTCTTCCTAAACCTGCTCATTTAAAAGATTCTAATCAATATTCCTCATCATCTCATTGTTTAAATCTGTCAAATTCATATGAGCCCTTAATAGGTAGTTCTAAAAGTTATCAAGCTAACCAGACTAATAATACAGATGTAATTGATATATTAAACTGTGCGGTTGAAGATGAAGGACGAATTGATATTATGAATATTATTGGTGAATCAACAAAAAGAATATCAGAAGAATTTACGAGAGTTCTTGGTTCAGATGTCGAATTATTTAAAGAAACTAAGAAAATGTTGAGAAAGCTTTAAAAAATTTTCTATTAATTCCTTTCAACTTATTGTAAAAAAATTTTTATTCATTTCATGCATTTGCAATCGTAGCAGTTCATATAACAGCATGAACAAACTATGCCGTGATTTCCATATATGTGTACTTAGAGTAATAGTTATGCCATCGTGCAAGGCAAATTTACCCTTCCCCGATCCACAATGTATAAACATGTATATATTCGATTATTTTTTTTTTATTATTTTCATAATTTATTTATGGAATCGATTGGTTAAAAAGATACTTATCGATTAAATAGGAATAAGGATTCATAAGAATAAATATTGTTTACTTCGTATATGTAATTAAAATATAAAAACGACCAAGTCTTACCTTTAATATAGCAGAACTCGTTAACGCCGCATAAAATGTTTTGCTCTTCTCCCCTCGATAAGTGAAATTCACATCATCAGCAAGTACATTTTTTTATAAAACTTACGTAGTTCTATAAAATTATATAAATGCTATATAAAATTTTTATATAGATTTACAAACCCAATGTAAACTTATATGGTTAAAATTTTTAGATATAATTTGATATAATATTTATGTATTATTTATTTATTATTTATATAAATATAAAATTTATGTAAACTTTATCTATATCTACATAAAATAATGTAATTTACTTTA